AAAGATGGAAGAAAAAATAACAGTAAATTAAAATTTTTAAATCGATAAAGACATAGTGATATATAATAAAAAACATTGTTAGTACAATTGACAAAATTGAAAAATGAACAGTGGATTAAAGCATGACAGCAATTTTAAATTTTTTTAACTCAATAATTGTTCTAAAAATATATGAGAATATTCTTGTTAGGAAATATACACTGAACAATTCTGAGGAAAAGAGTCTGAATATATATAACTTACTCTTTAAAGATTCAAAGAATAGAAATATAAATATCGATATATCCTGTGGTCTTTCTGAAAGACAGAACTAAAGAATGATAAGGCAAAGTGTTAAAAATAAAGGATAGATGAGAATTCTTCATACTGTTTTTGTAATGTTTCTGTAAGTTTGGAAATATTTCAAGGTAAAGCATTAAATATTCAATAAAACAAGAGCTTGATAAAATAAAGCAAGAGTTTGATAATTCTTTGACATGACACTTACTTTGAAGCACCATGTTTAACAGGCAAACTTTAGCGGGAGTCCCACCAAAGTCTAGAACAAGAAAAAGATGACACTTTTCCAATATTTGACTGGAGATACTAGTCAACAAAATTAGACAAGAGAAAAAAAGTAACACATTTAAAATCTTAAAGGGAGGGCAAATAAGACCATTTGCAGACCATATAACTGTAAACCTAAGAAATAACTAGAAAAAATGAGAATTCTATAAGAAATCTAAATGTAAAATTAAGATTCAGAAATCATTGTCTTTCACATCACAGGGAAGCTGAAAAAAAAAACTGTATTTGGTTAAAAAAAAAAACACCTGTATTTAGCTTCAGCTTCAGCCTCAACCTTTAAAATGCCAAATAACTACTGCAATAACAGTTTTGTCTTAAAAACTCCTGAAAAAGTAAAAGATTAATAATATTGTGACAACACAGGCCATCATAAAATATTAAATCACTGGGACAGCATCAATTGTTGGTCAGTCGCTCAATAGTGTCTGACTCTTTGCAACCCATAGACTGTAGCACGAAAGGCTTCCTGGTCCTTCACCATCTCCCAGAGCTTGCTCAAACCCATGTCCATTGAGTCAGTGATGCCTTCCAACCATCTCATCCTCTGTCGTCTCCTTCTCCTCCTGCCCTCAATCTTTCCCAGCATCAGGGTCTTTTCCAATGAGTTGGCTCTTCACATCAGGTGGCTGAAGTATTGGAGTTTCAGCTTCAGCATCAGTCCTTTCAAGGAAAAATCATTCAATGAATGATTTCCTTTAGGATTGACTGGTTTGATCTCCTTGCTGTCCAAGCATCACTAATCCAACACAATTCACCACTGTGACACACTCAGGAAGCACAGCATAATGTGCCAGGATTACTGTGAGTTAAGCACAGAGCGAGTGGGCTACCTTACTCTGCTACAGGCAAAGACAAAAGTGTTGCTGTACAAGCAATGTTTGAAGCTGCCTTTTCTTACACAACATTTTCATGTAAAAGCCTGTATTGCATGTTGGAAAAGGGCTCTCCAATAAAAGATAGAAGAGATAATGTATGTTGTGGATGACAATACCAAATAGCAGTAAGCTCTAACATTTTGCAGAAAAAGACCCACAATACTTTGCCATTCCAGGAAGAAAACATCCCATGTTATGTTTGTACATACATAGAAAAGGATCTTGACACATAAACACTGGATTGGGAGGTGGTGATGATTTCCTAAAATATGTATTCAGGTATTCTATGCATTCCTAAAGTAAATAAAATAAATAAGAATTTTTAAAAGCTATTTATGCATTTTAGGGGGACAACAGGATGGCACTCATTAGAGGGAGGAAAGTGAAAGTGTTAGTTGCTCAGTCACGTCTGACTCTTTGCGACCCCATGGACAATAGCCCACCCAGGTTCCTCCATCCATGGGATTTTCTGAGCCACCAAGGAAGCACTCATTAGAGGGAGGATCTGCAGGGAACCAGAATTTATTTGCTAATTCCTCCCTCACAGTTGTTCAATCAGTTCATGTTGATTGAATAGACAGTAATGACCGACACCAAGAAAAGCCAATGAGCGGGCCTGATAAATCACTCTGACAGCCTCAGTGCATCTTAGAGTAAAGAAAAATAAGGCAAAATTAAAAATATCTGATCTGGTGCCCAGTAAGTCATTCTTGAATTATATAGATGTTATGCCATGAAAAAAACTGAAAAATTACTTTCTAACAGATCAGATCCCTTTTTAGAATGATGATGATGATGACAATGATATTTTTTTTTTACCATTCATTGAATGTTGGCTACTTGCCAGGCACTGTTTAAGATGCTGAGACTAGAGCTATAGTGTCAGGTGGGAGTAGACAGATTCTAATCATGATAAAGAGTGAATAGCTACCATTCTCTGGTGGCTCAGACAGTAAAGAATCTGCCTGCATCATAAGAGACCCGGGTTCAATCCCTGGGTCCAGAAGATCCCCTGGAGCAGGAAATGGCAACCCACTACAGTATTCTTGCCTGGAAAATCTCATGGACAGAGAAACCTAGCAGGCTACAGTCCATGGGGTTGCAAAGACATGATTGAGTGACTAATACGTTCACTTTCACTTGGCACTTACCCTGTTCCAAGAACATTTTATATACATTATCTCACAACCCTCCTGCACAGTAGATGGCATTCCGTCCACTTCATGTGTAAGGAAACTTCGGTCAGAGAAGGTGAAATGACTGGCCCATGATCACCCACTTAGAAAGGGGCTGACCATGGAAATTCCTTGGCAGTCCAGTTGTTACAACTAGGTGCTTCCACTGCAGGGGTCGTGGGATTGATCCCTAGTCCAGGAAGTAGGATTCTGACAAGCTGAGTTACACAGTCAATTAAAAGAAAGAAAGAGGCTGTTCAGAAGAGAAAATCAGTTGCCTCGATGCCAGGCCACCAGTAACTGCCTTTCTCTCAGGACAGGACCACATTCCCTTGGAAAGGGAGCTCACAGTGACGATTCATAGGACCCAGAACAATGATGAGCCCAAATGTGAAACTACTGAGGTCGGGAGAGCAGTGGACAAGAGGTGGCACAAGGCAGAGACAGGAGCCACCTCATTCAGGGCTCCAATACCAGTTATGCCAAAAGCTGTGAGCCACAACTGGTGTTCTGGCCAGGTTTTGGCTCCTCCATCCATGTCTTTAAACACAGCATGTACATACTCATGGTCCTGAAAATGGAGCTCCCACTGAACTATCCTTGACAATGGGATGTCCAAGCATCACCAACAGAATTCCAACAGTGTCCTGATCTGGAGTGCCCTAAAAGCAGTGTTCAGCCCCTGCATGTTCCCTCAGCAAGACTCCTGATCTATAAGGGAATTTCTTAACCCACAGGCAAAACACTGCAATGCAACCATGAGAGTGGATGCAGGAAGGAGTATAGGAGAAACCACTGAAGGCAGGCCCAGGAAGGTTGAATTTCCTTCATGACTTTGTCACCAACAGGCTGGGATGTCACCTCGATCATACACTGCCCTGTTCCTGAACCCCTCAAATGCTGAATGAAAACAAGTTCTGTCATCTTAAACTCGGGCCCCAAACAGAATCTTTGTGGAGCTGCTTAAGGAGAATTCCTGTGCCCATGGCTCCCGGAAATCTGATCAGTGGTTCTGGGATGTGGCACAGAATCTGCATTTTACACTAACTGGCCAGAGAAGGGCAGTGTCTGCCAATTCACAGCTCACTGGCTTAAATGTCCATCAAGGGAAGCCTGATTTTAATGGAATTCTGAATGAAGGAATATTATGCGGCTCTAAAAATAGCACCATTAAAGTTATTTTGTAAAAAGGGACAAAGTGAGCAATCATGTGGTAAAAGGACACAAAGGGAAGTATTTCACCTTCTTCTGAAACTATATGAAAGAATTATCTATAGTAGTAGTAGTAGTGTTCCAAAGTACTTATTGAGTGCTTTCTTCCATTAACTCTGGATAAGTTGTGGATCCACACCTTCCCTCGGCAACCAGGATCTGTAGCATAGGCGGGCCTTTAAAGTGACACCCAGATTAAAGGCGCTGCCGCCTGCAACACGTGGAGGGGAGCCTGACGGGTCAAAGAACCCTCTGCTACTTCCGGGCTCCTGGCCAACTGGTTCTTCCTTCGGCACGACAACTGAGCTGCAACAGATACACCTCTGAATGTAGTGTAGGTCAAACTCAATACAATAAACTCTTGGCTTAGTGATGGAAGTATAACAATGACCATCTTGCTAAACTGATACATACATAAGTTGATCGTGCAGCAGTTGCTAATAAGACACTCACTTCTAACACGGCTTTCCCTTTCAACATCGCTGCAAGGATCTGGCAGTCATTGAGAACACAGGCGTAGACTTAAGGATGTCATCCAAAACCTTACCTCACTATCGGACCAAAAGAAGATAAGACGTCACTGCCAGGGCGAGGTCTCAGGGGATGAAGGAACTACATTTCAGTGTCCTGGTGCAGCGTTCCAATGGTGGGACTTGAAATGTAATCGGTTTTCCGGTTGAGGTTTTCCGCATCTGAGGTCAACACGAGCAAAGAAAGCCAAGGCCTTCACCCAGGAGTGGCACGATTGCTCCGCCCCCTTCAGGCCGATAAAAGAATCTACACTGAACTACCCAGCAGGGCCAGGACTCCGGCTTCACAGACGCCTCCATTTCTGTAGGCGGAGCCTAGGAAGGGGCGGGGCTTAGTGTGAGGCTGCTTTGCGACTCAGGTTCCGCCGGCTTCACTCACGACATCCTTGGCTCACTCGTGTGCAAACCCGTCCACGTGAGGAGCTGAAGCTTCCAACTCGCAAGTCTGAAGGCAGCAGCTCCCCTAGAAGCCACGACTGAGTGACTCCCCAGAGGCAACCCCAGAGTTCCGAAGACTCATCCTGCGTTCCTGCGCCCCACCACCCCGCGTCGGCCTCACCTGTCAAGCCGACCTGTCACTGCCTGCAGGACCCAGCCCTCTGTCGCCTTCTGCCAGGTCCCAGGCCCGCGGCGACACCCACATGATGGGCAGCCGACCGCGCAGTCCCACCGCCTACCCTGAGGACCCGTGGGACCCGCAGGACGGAGGACCCGGCCCTGCCAAGCGCCGCCGAACCGAGGAGCCCAGGCGCCCGAAGTCCGAGTTTGAGGCGGCGCCCAGCCTGGATAACCTGACCTGGTCCCCGACGGCGGGCACCCTCATCTTCGTGGCTGTCCTGCCGGCGGGATGTGCTCTGCACGTGCTCCTGGACGACGTCGAACTGCTGCTGGAGCCCGAACCAACGTCTGTGAGGCAAGTGTGTCTCGGAGGTCGCATCCTCATGCTGGTCCCCGAGGCTCTTGTGGGCTCGGGTATGGAAGGGCCGTGGGGGCAGGGCCTAGAACCGGGAGCTCTCCTGAGCCCTCGCGGGGAGTACGTGGCTCTGGAGCCGGGATTCTTCTGTGCCGCTGTCCCAGAGATCGCCTGCCAGGGAGAGGCCAGCAAGGAGGATGCAAATGCTGACGCTGACTTCCTGCTGGGCGAGATGGATGCTGCCTCAGTCCCAGTCGCTGGGCTCCGCTCTTCTGCTGGAAGTTTGACTCACTTTGACCTGTTAGACCTAGTCTCAGAGCCCTCCCCTCGGGCCTCCAATCCTAGTCCAGAGAGAGGCTCTCCTCAGCACGCCAACAGCCTGGACTTGCACCTTCTGGAGCCCTTTCCTGACTCACCACTCCAACCTCTACCTCCTTCTCCAAGTCCAAGTCCCCAGGAGCGCCCCTGTCGCCCTCCTGGTTCTCCTTGCAAGGCCCGGAGATGCCTGTTCCCTGAATCCACTGCCTCCCACAATTCCTGGGCACGTGAACGGGCACCAGGACAGAGTCTTCCGATGTTGGTTGTGTGTATATTGAACACACCGGTAGAATCATATGAATAGATCCTTTTTGGATGCAGGCTGCTTTGCAGAATTTTGATCAGTGGCTGCCTGAACATCTGAAAGGAAGTTCACCCGGGCAAAGAAAATCCACTTGAAATGCAGCATACTTTCAGACAGCCAGACTGCTGGTAGGTTTTCCCTAAGTTACCCTTAAGCAGATCTGTTGTTTAGGCGCTATTGTGTGGGCTTCTTTGCAACTCCGTATACTGTAGCCTACCAAGCTTCTCTGTCCATGTGATTTCCCAGGCAAGAATACTAGAATAGGTTGCCATTTCCTTCTCCAGGGGATCTTCCTGACCCAGGGATGGAACCTGCCTCTCCTGCATTGCAGGCAGATTCTTTACCACTGAGCCACTGGGGAAGCCTAAGCAGCTCTACCCACTTCCCATTTGCTTCAAACATAAGCAACAGCACTTTTCTCTAAAAAGCCATCCTTTCCCAGATACCCTACCACTGGCCCCTTCCCCTGTTGTGTCCCACCCCACTCAACAGAAGAATTGCTAATTTCTATTGTTTACACGGTTTTGGTACTAGTGTCCATGCTGGTTTACAACAACCTCTACCCAGATGGGACTTTTTGGATGGAAGTTATGTGGACAAGTATTTGTTGAATACAAAAAGCATAGAATGGGGAACAATGATTATGGCCCCTCCTCTTTTGAATAACTAGATTGGCAGATGGTTTAATTCTATTGCTGAGTTTTCCCAAAAGAACCAACAGTTTTCTGTTCTTCTTATATGCTTTTAATGTTATATAATTTTCTTGCCCCGGCAAAGTTTGTAATTCTGAAGATTTTGTGTTTTTATATTTTATAGGCTCCAAAATATGTTTTTTACATTGCTAATATATAGAAATAATTTTTCTTATATTGTCTGACCACCAGCAAATTACTTAATTTCTGTAATCGCTTATCTATAGATTCTCTTGCTTGACTAATAAAATATTTCCAAATAATGAGTATGTCTTTTTTTTTTTACAAGCCTCTTACATCTTATTTTTCCATAATCCTTTTATTGGATATTACTTCAAATCCAGGTTGTCTGGTGTAGTTAATAGGGTCACCCCTTTTTTGAAGTATAGTTAGTTAGTGAAAGTGGCTCAGTCATGTCTGACTCTCTGCCACCCCGTGGACTATGCAGTCCATGGAATTCTCCAGGCCAGGACACTGGAGTAGGTAGTCTTTCCCTTCTCCAGGGGATCTTCCTAACCCAGGGATCAAACCCAGGTCCCCTGCATTGCAGTACAAGTCCATTCTTTAGGTTCGTCAATGCCATTTTTCTAGATTCCATATATTTGTTAATATAGGATACTTGTTTTTCCCTTTCTGACTTACTTCACTCTGTGTACGGGGCTTTAGGTTCATCCACCTCACTGCAATTGACTCAAATCCATTATTTTTTTTTTACAACTGAGTAATATTCCATTGTATAAATGTACCACGTCTTCTTTATCCATTCATCTGTTGATGGACCTAGATAGGTTGCCTCCATGTCCTGGCTGTTGTAAATATTGCTGCAGTGAACACTGGGGTACAAGTGACTTTTAGAATTGTGGTCTTCTCAGAGTATATGCCCAGTAGTGGGATTGCTGGGTCATGTGGTAGATTTATTCCTAGTTTTTAAAGGAATATCCATGCTGTTTTCCATAGTGGTTGTATCAGTTTACATTCCCACCAAAGTACAGTAGGGTTCTATTTAATGGGAATAAAAACAAAAATAAAGACTAGGGACCTAATAAGGCATAAAAGCTTTTGCACAGCAAAGGAAACTATAAACAAGATGAGAAGATAACCCTCAGAATGGGATAAAATAATTGCCAATGAAGCACAGAAAAAGGATTAATCTCCAAAATATATAAGCAGTTCATACAGCTCAGTATCAGAAAAAATAAACAACCCCAATCAAAAATGGGCAGAAGACCTACAAAGGCTTTTCCAAAGAAGACATACAGATGGCCAATAAATACATGAAAAGATGCTTTGTATCACTCATTATTAGAGAAATGCAAATAAAAACTACAGCGAAATACCACCTCACACCAGTCAGAATGGCCATCATCAAAAAAATCTACAAACAATAAATGCTGCAGAGAATGTGCACTGTCTAATTTTGACCAGTGGCTGCCTAAAACACCTGAAAGGAGCTCACCTGGGCAAAAAAAAAAAAAAGGCGTCTTCAAATGTAGCGTCGTTTCAGGCAGACTTACTGTTGCTTAGGTTTTCTCTAGGGTGGACACTCAAGCAGTTCTATCCCCCAGCTTTCTTCAAAGCTAAAGCACAGCACTTTTCTAGTAAATATTAAAAGACATCTTTTCTCAAGCATCCTACCATCGCCCCTTCCACTTCTTTTCCTGTCAAGAGTAACTTATAAATTTCTTTTGTCTACAGGTTTTGGTCCTAGTATCCATCTAAATTAATAATATGACAACCCTCTACCCTGTTTTACCTTTTCTGGATGGCCTTTGTGGGGATCTTACTACTGGTTCTATGGGACAAATGTAACTGGATACAAGACTCAGAATGGGGAGCAATGATTATGGGCTCTCCTCTTTTTGAATGACTAGGTTGGAAAATTAACTCTAGCTATTTTTGTGGGAGTATTTTCCAAAAATTGACTCCCCTCGTAGCTCAGTTGGTGAGGAATCCACCTGCAATGCAGGAGACCCTGCTTCGATTCCTGGGTCCAAAAGATCCCCTGGAGAAGGAAATGGCAACCCATTCCAGTATTCTTGCCTGAAAAATCCCATGGACAGAGGAGCCTGGCAGGCTATAGTCCATGGGGTCGCAAGAGTTGGATATGACTTAGAGACTAAATCACCATCATTTTCCAAAAGAACTTACTATTTCCATCCTTTCCTTCTTACATGTTTTTAATATAATTCTCTTGTCATAGAAAATTTATAATACTAAAGATTTTTTTGTTTTTATACTTTTGTGAGTCAATATATTTTGTACATTGTTACTAGCTTATAGAAATAATTTGTTCTTATATTGGTCTGGTATCCAGCAATATTAATTATAGTAATCACTTCTCTGTGGATTCTCTTGCTTGACTGATAAAGATAATATCTCCAAATAATGAGAGTATTGTCTCTTTTTCTCTTACTAGGCTTTTACATTGAATTTTTCCTTAATCTTTTTTAGTGGTTATTGAAGTAATAACCATTACTTCAAATCCAGGGTGACCAATACAGTTAATATGGTTATCCCTTTCTCTTCTTTTGAAATACAGTTATATATAATTTTATATGATTTTATATTAGTTTCAGGTATACAAAAATAATTCAATACTTTTTTGGATTATATTCAGTTTAAAGTTATTATTAAATAATGAGAATGTTTTCTTATATAATATGTCCTTGTTACTTACCTACTTTATATAGTGTAGTTTTAAATCTCTTAACCTTATACCCTATCTTATCCCTTCCTTCTCCTCCTCACTGTTAGCCACTTCTTTGTTCTCATTGTCTATCTCTTTCTGTTTTATTGTATGCATTTGTTTTATTTTTTAGTTTCCACATATGAATGATAACATAGAGAGTATATATCTTTCTCTGTCTGACTAATTTCATTAAGCAGAATACACTGTAGGTCCATGCACATTGTTGAAAATGGCAGAACTTCACTCTCTTTATGACTGAGTAATATTCCTCACATCTTTTTTTCTTTTAAACCTACACATTTATTGATTTGTCTGCGTTGGGTCTTCGTTCGGCACATGAGACCTTCACTGTGTCGTGTGGGATCTTTCCTTTCAGCACATGGACTCTCCAGCTGTGGTGCCCAGGCTCAGTAGTTGTGGGCCATCTCTGGAGTACATGGACTCAGTAGTTGTGGCTCAGAGGCTTAGTTGCTCTGCAACATGTGGGATCTTAGTTCCCTAATCAGAGATCAAACCCATATCCCTTGTATTGCAAGGCAGATTCTTAACTACTAGACCACCTGGTAAGTCTCCCTTACTGTGTGTGTTTAGTCACTCAGTCATGTCCAACTCTTTGCGACCCCATGGACTGTAGCCCACCAGGTTGTCCCCTCATCTTCTGTATTCATTCATCTGTAATAGTGAGATCACAGATTTATTGAGCCCTGAAACATTAGGTGGAGACAACTGGATATATAGATATGAATAACTTGAACCCCCAGATCTTTTTTAATCCTCTTGGCCCCCAGAAGTGGCCCACCACTCTCTATGAAAACTTGCCCATCTACCTTGCTCTAAGATGAAGCCTCTGCCTGGCAAGGCAAAGTGCACCAACTTCAAGATTTACCCCCATCTTCTCTCTTTGCCACTAGACAATAACTGAAGTTAAGTATAATATAATACAACAGACGATCAAAAGGTCCAAAGTAATGGGGATGATACACTGGATATAATACCTAAAGCTAAATAATGTGTCAGCTAGTGGGAGTGTGGAAGGGCCTAGAGGGACACTGTGTAACTAAGCAAAAGAAATGCACTGGGGAGGCATCAGCATCATTGAGTTCAGTGGGCCATGGTTGAAAACGAGATGTCATTAAGTAGCTGGAGTCCTTGGTAGCCCTGAGGATCATAGGATCTGAGAGACTGAATATACAAGCTAAGAATGACCAGACCACTTATGACAAAAGAATTCTGACACACAAATTTTGCAGCAAGCAGCCCAGAAACAAAACTGTAACCTCTGTGGTAACTGGCCCCAAGTAATCAGAACTTAGTCAGTAACTGCCAGCTTCCCTAATTTTCATCCCTCCTTCCAACTCAGGACCATTCTAAGAAAGTCAAATGTACTGTGCTTAAGGCACAGAGTTCACAAAATCAAATCAATTACATAGATTCCCTCCTTCGAGTTAGCCTGCCTCTGGCTTTCCCCTGCCAACAACTTCTGTTTAAACACACCTGAAGTTTTCCTTTTTCCACCATAAACATTTCTCACTCCCTTACCTGACTATCAGCTCTCAAATACAAGTGACAGGGTTGACTCTTGCTATATAACAGCTTCTGATTAAATAGCTTCTGCTTGT